CTAAAGTTATGTACTTGCATCGAAATGTTGATGTTAATGTGGACCTTCCTGGGATTTCTAATGTCCGGGATTTATAATCCCGTGTGGCCAACAATCTTACAACTAAATAATAATATCAATGTCAGAGATAGACAAATAAAACAAAGATAATTAACATAAAATATTTATTAGTTTACATTAATTTACAATACAAATTTTGCAACTTTGGACATCCGATGTCATTGATATAAGTTTGGCAACGTCGTGCGTGCAGTAGTTTAAATTGTGTAACAGTAAATAACTTTTTATTTAAAAAATCACGGGATTTTTTCTGCTCTTTAAAATTAATCTCGGGATTTGAGGCATATCCACTTTATTCTTTCGCTGTATGAAATCAGTGTAAGTACATGAATAACTCTACCTAATTCCGACCACTGGTGATGAGCCAACTTATTAGTTGCTCGTAACTTCAATTGATTCGATTCATCCGAATACATTTTTGGAATACAAAAGCTATTATGCATCCATACGAGTAATGATATTAATATAAATATCAAAATCAATTTAATTTAAGCTGTTACATAGTAATTGTGAAAGTCGAAAACTATTACAACGGTTCTCAAAACTCCGGTAGACATTGTACTGAGAAGAACCGGCAAGAAACTCAGCAAGGGCTGCTTTATTCTCCCTGTTTTATTTCACACAGACAAGTCTTATTGAAATGCGACTTACTTAAACTACGAAGTCATTTTCCGATACAATATCAGAAAAAGAAGACATATATTGTTCGATTACTGATTAATGTGTCGGTTGACAAGATGAGTCCAGGTGCAGACTAACCCACTGGCAGCACCCTGTTGACGAGCTTGGCGCATGAGTCAGCCGTCGCTTCGCTCAACTATAGTTGAGGAAAGTAACGACCTGACGCACACGACATCATCGCAAAGATTTTTAGGAGAGCGTGACTACTCTAGGTACTTAATAAGTAATATAGTATTTCAATAAAACTGATTTCTAGAGTAGGGTGCGTATGAAGTCCATCTATTATTGGCCATATTATTGTAAGAACCAAAAAAGCATACGAATTAACACTCCACTCGACTTGACGTCCGCTGTCCGATGCAAGTTCAGTGGTGATAGTTTGATTGTTTAATTATTATTAAGATAATTTAATTATGAATATCTTAGTTTTAAAAAATCTTAATTTTGAAAAGACAACTTATTTGCACGTTGTAGTTTATACAAACCTCTTTCTAACCAGAAGTCATGTTATTTTGTACGGCTACCTAGTATATTTGATACATATCGAGTAAGAATATAGATAATAAACGATATTTTTATTATAATTATCGTTTTTTATATACTTATAATGTTGCTGATTAATAAACCTTATTCATTAATTCACCACACATAATAGAAAAACATTATTGAGACTTGATGTAGTTTTGTTGCTGTCAGTTCATCTAACAAATAGTAGCAACAAAAATAACTTACCTGGTTTTTATTGTTTTCAGAACTTTTGTTAAATATTATAATGAAAAATGCCTATACTGTACCTGTAGCCTGTCTGAACGTTACTTTTAAATAATTTGTCCCTGTATTGTGTACAAATCTATATTTCCATATTTTACACTGAATCCCTTGCAGGGTAGATTTAAGCGATGTATTTTAATAATAATAACTTTAATGATAACTTGTTGTAGGTAAGGAGGGATACAGAGTAAAACGAAAAGATTGTATTTTATTGTGGATATTTTATTAACATTATCATCATGCATCAAATTTATGTGCTAACTCATTTACACTTATAACTAGCTATACATAGAAAAATAACTTAACTAGGGGCAGAAAATACAGTATTTTGTAAAATTAAACAATTAAAATTATAGCTAAAATATCGGACTTTAACTGTAACTGTAATAAAACTAAAAGCAAGAACACTGTATCGCAAATAATTCTCTCAGAATTACATTAATTAAATTTAGCATAATCATACGTAACTTCAATACAAATCATCGTTTGTTTAACCGCAAAAGTTATAATTAAATGAAAAACGCATTCGCCAAGATTATACAACAACGAACAAGAGTACGTACATCGAGTATGTAACACAAAGGACGATATGGTGCTGGAGACGCCCGGTGCCGCCTATACCGAATCACTAACCTTCATTGCTCCTGGCAAATAGCCTCGTTACGTATCTATCTAGCGACCGGGCTTGCAGCTCACGTGTCGAGGTGTGCGCTTAGTTACATTTATATTTTTATTTACAGCATTAAATCAAACAGTGCGAAACACCGGCGTGCGCGCCGCACCCCGAGTCGGCGCGATCCAAACATTAAATAAATTTAACACGCTAAGACTAGGCTCAATTAAAATAATTCGATTAACAATAAATCTTCTCGAGGTGATGTCATAATTTACATTGAAAATTTAAGTACATTATTAATTAGAAACTTTAAATTTTTATTTAACAACATCAATTCGACTAAAATTATTAAAAAAGTTTCGAGCATCGTTTTAAATGTTCGCTCAAACATTCACCTGCCTACCGCCGGTAACTCGCTTCACAGTAATGCGTTAACACTAGCCGATCATAAATTCTGAGAGCATTCGCCTTCCATCACGTGGTCCATTCATTACCTAATACCTATTAATTAATCAATTAATTTATTATAAAGTATATTACAATAAAATTTGTAACCTACAAGAACGAAATTCCCTAAAAAGGAAAGACTATGAAAAACGGCTCGGCCGGCCCGCCCGCCGGGCTGGCGGTGTGGGCCCTGGTCGGCAACCAATAAATAAGTTAAAATATCTATCATAATATTTACAAAAGCATAAGAAATAGTGCCGAAAGAAAGGGTCGCGTCGAGAATTCCAACTAGCTATATAAAAATATGATAAAATTCCACATTTTATTTTTAATAATTTATAATAATATATCGATCACATGAAACGGGCACTGGATTTGTTCGAAGAAGTTTGGACACTGAGATCTCATTAACTATTTTAAGTAGGCAATCGTCACTGATAGTCACTGGGTCGGCGTCAGCGTGTAGTGTACGCTGCGCCTAACACTGCGGAGTGTCTCTCCCTCTCTAGCACCCATTGGCTTGCGCGTGCGCCGCATCCCGCGCACTCCTACATATTTACCGTATTATATCCATTTTATATAAGACCTCTCCACTACTAATTAGATATATTTACTTTGAATATAAAAATATTGCGCAGAGTGTTGAGGGCGGGGCGCGGAGTGCGGCCTCGCGCATGCACATTTCCAAACTATCTATATACAAACGTACAAACATTACACTCTATTACTCCATTTTGTATACTTCATAAAAAGGTTAATGTTTTGTCTTTGCATTGAAAATATTGTAAGTATTCAATCGCGTTTGTCAATATGCACTAGGTATACCTTAATAAACTTTTTGTTATCGACTATCTAGTTAAAAGTATTATGATTCATTAACATTGGACCACATATTAATTATTAATAATATTTATTCAGGTAACAAAAAATAGAGATCTTGCGCAGACGCCGGAAACGATTACAATAACATATAAGTTTAGTAGCATTAATAATGTTTGATATGCACGGACAAAACATAATGTATATGAAAATAATAGCAGCATATAGCTCTGATACAAATATATATTAACGATACGTTGATATGTCGAGCCGTGATCGTTGGTGCGCAAGACCTCCCAACAGTTCTCCTATCATAAATTTAAATAAACGAAATAATCTAGAACATGTCCACTAAAACAGCTCACTTACAGTAAACATCTATTTATAGTAATAATTAACACAATAACGCACAAAATTATCTCTTTAAATATACTCATAATTAGTTTTCTAAATGAAAATTGGCAGTAGATTTCAGTTCGAGTGCAAAATATTATTTAGATTTCACAGACAACATAAACCAAAGGGTAATATCAATCAGAAATTCGGTTTGGGAAAACAATATACAGACTACGCCAACCCTTATATTCACTGAAAACATTCGATAGTCACTTTTTTTCGATGTTCGATATGATACTTGGTCGTAGAATTTCGGTCGTAGAAGTTCTGTCTACACTACAACCCGTGTTGTGTTAGAAAGAGACGGAACGGGGTGTATTAAGTGAATAAAGGGTGTGGAGCCCCCCCCCCCCCCCTCTAATATACGGAATACATCACAAGCGCTCTCGCGCAGTACTTGTACTATCCAAACTGCTTTGAAGTTCATATAAATAGTGTCCATTACTCTACGAATATTATATATATTTTAAAAATAATATATATGTATGTATATAATCAACAGTTAGTGAGGTTGTTTGTTTGTAACAAGGTGTAAATATGCAAATGGCCATAACAAGCACCAACAAAGTTATCTGAGGATGAAACAATATGATAATTTTGTCATTATTTAATACATAATAATTAAACATTTTAGGTAAATATTTCTTCACTATAAACTCTTAATAGACTATAATGTTATTTATTGCATATTGTATAAACTGTATTTCCGAATATCGTAAAGTGTATATTCATATGAATCCTTATAGTTTTTGCATAGTTTTGAGGTAGGAAGTTCTGATTTCGTAAGTCGAGGTGCGTCCGTCGACATAAACATGCAATATATAGTAACTCCATTACAAACATTTAAAAATTCGTTTCAACATTATACAAAAATCACTCCGTTCCATATAACAACTAGCAAATTTAGTGTTCCTCTTCTGAAATACCCCTAAAAATAGGTGCTTATATAAACATTTGAGCAATCGATTTCGTCTCTCCTATTTTTGTATAAATATTAAATTCAACGATAAGTCAATACCGATATACCGATCCGAGTGGTAATTCTTAAGATCAAAGAAGCAATCGGAGAACGTAATGCATGATGATTTGAATAATAGACGAATTTACTAATTAGTGAAAAAATGTAAGAGCGAAACGAGTCTACATCACTATTTCAAGGTCCGTTCACACACTTGCACTGGGAGATTCTGGGGCGGGCGGTCGTTCGCGCTTACGCGAGCGAGCAGTCGATCTCGACTATGTCCTTGGGCACGTCCACGAATTGGTAGACGAGCCGCTGCCCGTCCACCTTGGCGAGGATGCCGCGCTGGTAGTAGTAGCGGAGCGCGCGGCCCATTGTCTCGTAGTTCATGTCGGGCTTGTTTTTGTGCAAGCCCCAAAGTCGGGAGACAGCCTTCGAGTCGACCAGCTTGAAGACGCCCTTCTCGCGGTTCGTCCATTTGATGTAGCGCGGGCAGTACTCGCGGTCCTGCAGGAGTTTGAGGAGGAACTCCCAGAGGTAGGTGGTGGAGCCTTCGCGAGACTTGCGCTTGACGCCCGGGGCCGGCGGGTGGTCGGGCCGCGGCCGCTTCTTGGGCTTGAGCTTGTTGTGGTGGTGGTGCCGCTGGTAGTCGCCGAAGTCGAACACCGAGTAGGGCAGCTCCTCGTGCGGCAGGGGCGGCGGCGCGGGCGCGGCGAAGTGGTGCCCGCCGCCCGCGCCGCCGTAACCGTAGCCGTACGCGTCGCGCTCGCTCACTCCGCCCACTGGAAACAAACAAACGTATACATTATGAATAATGTTCATTCATTATTATTACAAAAAAAAAATAATTAAATAACTGAGTGCAATCCTGACTTTTTTATTTACGGTCTCTTTTTTTTTCTCAGAACTTAATTGCATGTTAGCAACACCGTTGTAAATATCTAAAGAATAACCGCTGTTTGTCATTTCAATACCTGGAGATATACCATAATAATTTAAACTCAAATAAAGGGGTGCGTAGAGTCGTTTAAATGGCATGTATGTGTTTCACTGAATGAGTACTTCGATATAAATTAAAATGTTTGCAATATCATTAGCCTCGTTATTAGAACGGTAACGCAAGAGTGGCCTAAACAATCGTGGGATAAGTGGACCATAGATTTGGCGGTGGGAGTCGGGGGACGACACAATGCTGTTGTCAAAACTATCAGCATAGTATTATCATAACAATATTTAGCAACTAGTTAATATTAAACTTGTATAAACAAGTGAAGGAAAAATGGAAACATTTAATGATCTTACTGACGAATATACTTACCCTCCTAAATATGAGAATGGACTCCATGTGTTATGGTTCAGCACGAATTGTCAATGGAGATATTTTATTAGAAATCGCTGTTCACTGATATATAGACGAAATGATAACTGCGTTCTCAATTTATGTCAGCTATTGTGAGATATAACATAACTGAGCTTTTTAATTGTAGATGTAACATAACTGAGCTTTTTACTTAATAATCTTACTCAAAATAAATTTTATTTATGCCAGAGCTAGTTTGATAGCATATTAATCGAAAACGTGATTTTATATTAATTATAAACAGAATGTTCTTTTGTTTTCTGGTTGAAAGATAAAAAGCTAGATACCAAAAGTCAAAGTCAAAAAAAGTGTTTGGAATCCCTTTGATTAAGGTTTCGTCTCTACTTTCATGCAAAATGGTCCTTTCTATAATTTCATTTAACAGACAACTGATCAGACAATACGAATTTTTAAAGCTACATATCATTTAATTGTCTCTGTCCTGTTAACCGGCAATAAATACCTATATTCATTTACAATTATAATGATAACAATAAAAAATACAACTCGACGCCTGCCAGTTTCATCGGAAAGCATAAACAGCTGGACTCTTTCACCGCTTAAAAAATATTTCAATGTTATTTTTGCAGACGCGTGTATTTATCAGTTCCGCATTTCCCCGCCAAAAGTCAGTCAACGGATACAAAAATGTTGGCGCGCGCTCCCATCACTGTGCGGTAAGTTTAGAAATCTAAAGGGTATTTTTAATGCGACAACTTTTTGATAAGACAATGAATGTAGCAGTTGATAAAACGTTTTAGATTGCGTCAACACGCTGCGTATCGCCGCCTTGACCCCAATGCCTCGCTCGCGAGCCTGTCACCGCCGCACGGTTTCCTCTCCGATTACCGATATTTTAACATTTATATTTTCTAGCACATTGACCATTATACGCGAACAACTGAAAAGTATCTTATTTAACACTCATTTTTGAATTATTTAAATACGCAATATCCTAGCGACTTCGTGTAAAAAAGTAGCAAAAAAATATGTTAACAAACATTAAAAACAGTGTGTGGGATGCCTTATATTATATTTTTATTATTCTTTGAACTATTACGCGGAAAAAGTGATAAAATAGCGATGGATAACTTTTTGATTTCTAATGAAAACTTCAAATAAACTATCGTCGGTCGGGAAGCGATAAATCTGTGACCGACGCTCATTTACTGGGAAATTTATTTGTCTACCAGGAAGAAGTGTGCTGATATTTATTTGTGACTCTTTCGTGCCATTATATCTGTTATTTCTACAAACATGACATCTCAGAATTGCTCATAACCGGTTAATTCTTTTTTGAATTTAATAATCAATGACATTGGTCATGTTGCTAATCTGCGTCTACGCATACCTAATGATTGCATATGTAAACATTAGTGAGGGAAAGGTTATTTTATTCAATTTTAAAATGGTGTAGGTTGTGTAAACACGAGTGCTTGATCGTGAATCGAACCAATAATCTGAAGTGCCAAATGAAGCGCTAGACGACCTATATATGACTTCACCTTGGAAAATTTTCAGTGCATTACACTTTTCAGTTTACCAAATTTATTTTTTACCAAAAATAATCTCGCATTTTGCATATTAAAGAAATTGATAGCAACATTTTTCTTTCATACGTTGACATTGTTTATTTTGGAAATGAATATATATATGTATTATTATCGCCATATCCATCCACGACTCAGGGAAAATTACACTATATTTAATAAATGCTATTGTAACTTTACATGCACTACTATGTAGGGACACTTCATATATTTCAAAGTGAATACTAGTAATGTGATAACCTGCATTACTTAAAATGATTAAATTGGCATTTTACTTGTAGCCGTTTCCAGTCTATGTTGCAAAGATAAACGGTGTAAAATTATAATAATTATTATGATAATGTCAGAGAGAGATCTATATCGGCTAAAACAACTTTACTTAAATCACAATACTCAATAATTTATTGTCAACATGGTTAACATATGGTAAAAAGTATAAACACGTGAACGTATGACCCTGTAGGGCAAGACAATTTCGAACGACAGGCAGATCTTAAAAATAGATCAAATAGATTTATTCAAATATATAAAGAACAATAGTGACGTCAAATAATATATTTTATTAACACTATGGTGGGACTTATCTTTTTTAAATTATTATATTTTTGCGAATTTTATGCTTGTATCTCGCGTCGCCGATAAACTCGATGATGTCCGCCATTTTCTTTCTAATATTATCTAACTCGTGTATTTTTCGCGCGGCTTATCTCAGGTCGTTCACCTCGCACTAACACGTGTGTCCGTCCGTTGTCACGTTCGTTAGTACTCAATCACAGTCCTTATATATGGTTAACTACGCTTCCATCTTAGTCTACCTACTTAGTTAGCTTGCTATACCGCCATACTGGAACTTACCTATAAGCAAACTTGACAATAGGAAGGTACATTACAAATGTTCCAGTAACACGTACGTAGAAAATGGCTAGACAAAACCTCATAGGACCGCTCACACATGTATTTCGATGTATAATTTATATGATAACGGGTTGAAAACATTCTCAATAGTTAGCTATTACCCGCTATTTACATTTAATTAACCGTTTCACGGGCGCCTGTATCATAAAATCCCTCGCTGCCTGGGAAGCTACGTACAAAATGTGATAAAAAATATGCATTTTATGCAGCGGTGGACTATTTTTAGCGTCCTGGACGCATCCTACTGGCTGCCCAAGATCAAGGTTACACCGTACACACTCGTTTGCAGCCTTAGAATGTAATTTTCCCTCGGCTAGTTATTAGCGACGGGGCAGAAAAAAATTACAAGCTTATTAACAATTTCGTTTGAAAATGCATTCTGTAGCCGTATCGCTTAAGTAGCGTTTCGTTTGATTCTAGTCGGCAAAACACATCGTTTTATTTCCGGATGCAAGTATGCGAACAGTTTATAGGTAGGGGGAGGTCGGGAGGCAGGGAACCGGTTGCGCCCGCGCATCCCGCACTCGCAATAAATGGGTTACCCACAAACCTCTTGCGATATAAACGGCGCGGAGCTTACAACAACCTACTTGCTATACAGCAAAATAATCTGCTCAAACACCAACACAACAGTTACGTCAATTTACAAAACATATTATCTCACTTATGCTATCAGTCGGTGAAATATTTTTGCACCTGATAAGAGAATTAGCAGTTAAGTATTTACTTACACGCGAAACCATTTCCTCTAAGCAACTCACGTGTTAACATTTTTTTTATCTTTGTTTATTTGAAATGGAAGGAAATTTTACCACTTTAAGTAAACTTTAGCTTTTTATATCAATTCTAATACCTATCCTATACACGAGAAATAATTTTAATAATATAGATAATATTTCACAGTATATAATTTTTACGATACTGGTTCGGTGGTGATTGGAATATTCATTTAAAGTTTGCACAAAGCTATTGAAATTGGAAGTTGAACAATGATGACAGAATCTAGCGTTTTCCTGTGCGACCGGAAAGCGCTGTTCTGTGCGTGTTCTAAGATCGCGGTACGGTGCAGCGACGGGCGGGCGGGGCGCGGAAGGGCAGAGGGAGGGAGAGGGGCGCGGCGGTAGGCTCGAGGTGGGGAGGAGAGGGGCAGCCAATGACCAGGAAATGACGCCGCCGGCTGACCTTCACGCACGCACACACGCGCGCATCTCGGCTCCCTGCGCCCGCGCCGATGCCCAGCGCTAGAAATGTTGCATTCGTTTTTCACGGTCTGACTACCCTAACAGTTTCTCAGTCCGAAGTTTTTGCTGGTAAATACCACGTGAACACTCTCTCCCTGTCGTTATCAGCTGCCTGATATTCATTCGAGGCCAAGATGTTAAGGTGGGACGAATTATTTTTATGCATCTCTTATCAAGGTGACATTGCTTGATTGGAATACAACGCACGTATGTCAGATAACCGAAAATAAAAACAGAATTGTTATTATGCAACAAGACATGAAATAATATTTGTGCTAATAAATGAATTCCTTGTGGAAAAATAACAGTTTTTCAAATGTTGAGTATGAAAAATGACTCTACATTTAAACATTACTCACTTAATAGAAATGATTATACTTTTACTGATTCTCACCAGATTTTTAAAGAAGTCAGTTAAAGATAGGGAAATTGTAGAGCTTTTATTGTGTACTTGATAACTTTGCTTAAAATATTTAAATACACAATTATTAAAAATGCCTGCTCGATAAAACTAGAAATTTTCTAATGAAATGAACGCCTTAGGCAATGTTGTAGAATTTTCTGTGTAGAGTCAAAGGTGTATTATTTCCGTGGCGGGCCAAGTAGCGCCACGTTAAGTAAGGTCAGGCTGCGTCTGCGCATGCACTCGCTATTAGCCGATAGCGACAGAGGGCGCTGATTGTGTACCGGCACTTATCATCTTACAAACAAACTAT